AACAGACATTTTCTGTTAATAAAAATCAGTTTTTAGTGGCCAGCGCTGTGGCTCAGTTGGTTAATCCTCTGCCTGTGGTGCCGGCATCCCATATGGGAGCCGGGTTCCAGTCCTGGTTGCTCCACTTCCAGTCCAGCTCTCTGCTGTGGCCCGGGAAGGCAGTGGAGGATGGCCCAAGTGCTTGGGCCCTGCACCCACATAGGAGACCAGGAGAAGCACCTGGCTCCTGGCTTTCGATCGGTGCAGCGCCGGCCGTGGCGGCCATTTGGGGAGTGAAACAACGAAAGGAAGACCTTTCTGTCTCTCTCTCTCACTGTCTAACTCTATCAAAAAAACAAACAAACAAACAAACAAAAAACCAGGTTTGAGTTGGTTCTCAACAGCTGATGAAGATCATCATGTTTGTTCTAGAATTCCCATTAGTTGAAAGTTGCTCTGGTAGAGCTTGAATGCAAGAGTAGGTCAAAATAGAAAACTGTTGATCTCAAAGACTTAGTTAGAACAATAGTTTTTTTTGTTTGTTTGTTTGTTTGTTTGTTTTTCTTTGGACAGGCAAAGTTAGACAGTGAGAGAGAGGCTTCTTCTGTTGGTTCACCCCACAAATGGCCACTACGGCCAGCGCTGCGCCCATCCAAAGCCAGGAGCCAGGTGCTTTTCCTGGTCTCCCATGCGGGTGCAGGGCCCAAGCACTTGGGCCATCCTCCACTGCACTCCCGGGCCACAGCAGAGAGCTGGCCTGGAAGAGGGGCAACCGGGGTAGAATCCGGCACCCCAACCAGGACTAGAACCCGGGGTGCCGGCGCCGCAGGCAGAGGATTAGCCAAGTGAGCCACGGTGCTGGCCCTAGAACAATAGTTTTACCAAGGGTTGAGAATTTCAAAGGTCTTTGTCCTAGTTATTGGATACTTTCCATCTCCTGTCCTCCCAGGAGCATCACTGTGAACTGCTTAGAAGAAAAACCAGCACATTAAGGCTATAACTTGTGAAAAAATATTTACACACTAGAATAAATCTTAATCTTTTACTTCCTGGGGAGCATGAACCCTGCTGATCAATCCCTGCTAAGAACAAAAAGTGATACTGGGACTTGATGCCCTAATTACTCCATTTTCAGACATTGCCACCTAAGGGCAAGTGTGGGGTGGGGGCAATTTGTTGCAGCAGTTGGGATGTCATTTGAGGCTCTTACATCCCAAGTCTGTTTCAGGGTTGGAGTCCTGCTCCACTTCCAATTCCAGCTTCCCACTAGTGTGCACCTAGGGAGGCAGCAGATAATGGCTTAAGTACTTGGGTCCCTGCTATTCATGTAGGAGACCTGGATTAAGATCCAAGCTCCTGAAATTGGCCTAGCACAGGCCTAGCTGCTATGGTCATTTGGGGAGTGAAACAATGGATGCAGGATTCTCTCTCCCTCTCTCTCTTTCCTTCCTTCCCTTCCTCCCTCCCTCCCTCTTGTTCTCTCTCTCTCCCCTCCTCCCTCTCTCTTTCTCTTTCTCCCCTTTTTAAAATGAAATTAAAACAAATTTTTAACAAGAAGTTCTAAGGGCATCGGCATTTCGGGTCCATCCTGCCCAGCAGATCTTGGGCCTAGGAAAAAGAGGTAGGCGGTTTCACTTTCATATCAAAACATAAGCACCAAAATGTGGCCACAATTTTTTTTTCTATAAAAATATTTGAAGATAAAAGCGAGCATGAAGGAAAGTGAGAGTGACAGAGAGAATTCAGTATCTGCAGCCACATAAATCTATAGTAGACAGTGACATAAGATGCAATATATTTAGAGGAATGATCCTGTCTTTACTATTGACATCAATTGCTATTTTTTTTTTTTTTTTTTTTTTTTTTTTTTTGACAGGCAGAGTGGACAGTGAGAGAGAGAGACAGAGAGAAAGGTCTTCCTTTTGCCGTTGGTTCACCCTCCAATGGCCGCCGCTGCAGCCGGCGCACCGCGCTGATCCTGGCAAGAGCCAGGAGCCAGGTGCTTTTCCTGGTCTCCCATGGGGTGCAGGGCCCAAGCACCTGGGCCATCCTCCACTGCACTCCCTGGCCATAGCAGAGAGCTGGCCTGGAAGAGGGGCGACCGGGACAGAATCCGGCGCCCCAACCGGGACTAGAACCCGGTGTGCCGGCGCCGCAAGGTGGAGGATTAGCCTATTGAGCCACGGCGCCGGCCCGACATCAATTGCTATTATCAAATAGATTTGGCAGTGTTCTTTACTGATTATTAAGGTAGCTTTGTAAGCAGAATCAACTAAGCTTTAGTGATTTCAGGTACACATCCATAAATCCACCTATTTATTTTCATTTTCTGGGTTTTTATCAGGGGAAAATATGTGTTTATTTTCTGCATTTGGTGAACTGGTTTAACTCCTTCATAAGTAATTTCAAAATGAAAGCATTTGTTGCTCAAAGATATAAATATCAATCAATGGGCACTAAGATGGATCATCTCATGGGGCATTATAAGGTTATTGGGCTGCAAACATAATGGAGCAGAAAATTGGTACACATTCCAGGATAAAATATTGAATGTGAGACTCAAGTTGATACACTGTTTTTTGGTTTGTACTTAATTCTCCATACAAATATAAAACATCACAGAGATTTTAAGGGCATATGACACACATATGATTATATTTAGAAGAATCCAGCTAGTATCATCTAATTATGTAAGATTGAGCCTCAACATAACTTTTCCATTATTCTGTTAACTGCTCTGCTTTACTTATTATGTGCCTTGGCCAGGCACACCAGAGATCAATCCTATTTCTGAGACTGTTCTGTGTATTACCATGAAGATGTCCAAGCATTATGTCTATGCACAGTATATAAGTAGGCTTAAATGTATTTAATGTTTTTTTTTCTTTTCCTTATTTCTTTTTTAGCACAGGCTGTGCTTATCGGAAAGCAATTTTAAAAGGTAAGTTTATTTTGGTTTAACAAGAATTGAAAATATATGTATAGTTTTTCACAATATGTGTTTTCATGAAATTTTTGGACTCCCTTCATATTGTTAATATGTAGTTAAAGAAAATAGATAATTAGAAAATAGTTAACCCAAATATCTTGGATACTAAAAACTGTAGAATAAAGAAGTGATTATTGTGTTGATACTGTCAACTACCCAATCCTAGTGCTTCAAATTAGAATTTAAAAAAAGAAAAAAATTTTTAGAAAAGGAATATCATGCTCACTTAAGCAGCACATAAACTAAAATTGAAATGATACAGAGATTAACATGGCTCCTGCTGCAAGGATGGCACACAAGTTTGTAATTGCATATTTTTATTTCACAGAGGGTGACTATACATAATGATAATAAGCCATATATTTCTATATTAACATTAAATAAAGGATTTTTAATGTTTTCACAATAAAGACATTAAATATTTGAGGAGATAGAGTTTTACCCTGATTGGTCATTAAACAATGAATAAATACATTTAATCATTATATGATGCTCTGCAAGTATGTACAGATTTATGTGTCAGTTAAAATATAAAGATATTATAGATAAAAAATTGAATATTTTTAAAGGAGTTTATAATACATTTTATTTTTGCCAGTTAAATGTGCTTATCTTCAAAAATAATCCTACCTAAAATAATTATCACATAACTAAAAAAGTCCACTTCCTTCTGTGAAAGGAAGCATTTTTCCCACCAGGAGTCCTGAATATCAGAGGAAAAAATTTCCACAATAATGAAATTTTCCCTGCCTGTTGTCCTGTCTTCTTGATGGGAAAGGGCACTTTCTTTAGCAAAGGGGAAAAACAATAATATATTGCTCCTTATAACTTCTCGCTTAGAATTCTTACTTTCTCCCTAATGGTCAAATGCACATTACATTACTTTGATTTGGTTGTGAATTGTTTGCGATTAGAAGGTTATTATATCATTCACTTCTTCCTATGTGCCATAAAAGTGGGATTTCTACAAGTACCTACTAAGCATGCATTAATCCTTGACTCAAGCTGATTGAAATCCCACTTGTTATAAAAATTGTATAGGGGTATTTTTTTATCTGTGTAATTTTATTTGTACAGCTTGGACAAATAGCTCATATTTTAAATGTCTTCAAGTATGTTTTTAAATCAATCAATAAATATTTACTGAAAGGTTTCTGTGTTCTCAGTACAGCACAGGATGAATCATAATAGGTTTGAGCGGATCCTTGAAATCCGCTTTCATCCCACTTCTACAGAGAACATTTATTTGCCTATATTTATTCCAGTCTCCAGATGACTCTCATTTTTGCATCAAACATGACTTCTTTTCTAATGTGGTTTGAGATAATCATCTAATATGGTAGTAATTTCAGAATAAAGAATAACTTTTGTAAAGAAAGACAATGAAAGGTGCTATGCCTTAAAGTACATTGAAGTATATGTTTAGAGGTAAAGTTGAGGTGTGTACCATAATTTCATTTGGTTATTAAGTCAACTTTAAGTAAAAATTTAATAATTAATACATACATTAATTTTATTTAACAGTCATTAAGAAGTACTATACTCAATGTTAATGTATATACCAATGAAACTGGAAAAAATTCCTAGAAGCAAGTTCAGATGTGTATATGTTTACTGAATTCATATGTATTCATGAATATATATGTGAATTGAGTATTTTTAAAAATTGACATCTTAAAGCTATGGTAAAAATGATTAGTTCATAATTTATACTGATAACTGGCTGACATTCAGGAAATAATAACTTAGATTCCCTATTTTACCATATAAGATAAATTCTAGATGTGTTTAATATAGAGTAGGAATGAAATTTTAAGATTACTAAAGAAATTGAATTAATTTTGAGGTAGAGCAGTACTGTCTGACACAAAAGAAGCCATAAGTAGAAAGAGATTTAACACATAAAACCAAGACTTTTTAATAGGATAAATGTTAAAATAAAACTAGGTGTCAAAAACTTTTAAGATATGTACAACATATATAATACAAATCCACAAACCTTTCTGCAAAATTAATATATAGAATGCTTTGGAGACAGTTTAGAGTTGAAAACAAAAGACTCTATTAACTATACAAAGAGTAGAGAACAAAAGACATCATTAAATGTTAATTTTCTTTTTGTGCATAAAAGGAGAAGGAGACACAAAGAAAATCTGGTCTAACTATTGATAAAAACCCAATCATTTCATATTTTTAATTGTTCATTTGAGATTATGAATCAAAACTAGCTATAAAACAGTAAAAGTTATTGGGTGCGGTGGGTTAGGCTGCCTTCTTGTGATGCAGACATTTCATGTAGCAATGCTGATTTGAGTCCCAGCTGCTCCACTTCTGATCCAGTTTCCTGATAATGAACCTGGAAGACAGAAAATGTTGGTTCAAGTGCTTGGGCTCCTGCCCTCGAATGTGAGAAATCCAGATGTAATGCCTGGCTCCTGGCTTCAGCCTGGCTCAGCTCTGACTTTGTGGCCTTTAGGAATTGAACCAGAGAATAAGAGAACTCTCCTCCCTTCCCCCTCCTCCTCCTTCTCTTCCTCCTTCCCCTTCTCCTTCTCCTCTCTGACAAAGTCTTCCAAATACATAAATAAATCTTTTAAAAGTGTAGTAGAAAGATATTAAAGATTTCAAGGACAGGGATGAATTTGTAGGATCTGTTTCTAAATACTGCTCTGGTTCCCCTAGACCTAGCCACCATTCTCTAAAAGCAATTATTACATATAGACAAATTATTCAAAGCAATCATTTAAGGTATTAGAGAAAAACTTATGCAGGATGCAGGGCTCCTTTACTTAAGGGAAGGGAAGCAGAAATGGTGTTACTCGGGTATTTTGCCTGTTTCATCTGAGGGAATTTTCCAGTATTCAATTCATGAGAACAGAACTCAAGCAGAACATGGCCAATTTTACAAGGATGTGCTTGGCACTGGAAAAATGGATGGGATTTGAGGGGGAAAATTCTGGAGATATGAAACTGGAGAAAAATGAGTACGGGGGACTGCGCTGTAGTGTAGTGGGTTATGCTACCACCTGCAGTGCTGAAATCCCATAGGGGTGCTGGTTTGAGTCCTAGCTGCTCTACTTCCGATCCAGCTCTCTGCTATGGCATGGGAAAGCAGTGGAAGATGGTTCAAGTCCTTGGGCCCCTGTACCTGCGAGGGAGACCCAGAGACTTCTGGCTTCAGATTGATCCAACTCCATAGTTACACTCCATTTGGGGAGTGAACCAGCTGATGGAAGATCTCTCTCTCTCTCTCTTTCTCTCTCCTCCTTGTTCGCCTCCTCTCCATCTCTATAACTCCACCTTTCAAGAAAAATAAGTAAATCTTAAAAAAAAAAAAAAAAAAAAAACAGAAAAGAAAAATGGGGTACCAAAACCTGCCCACAAAGTTCACTCAGGCAGTTGACTGATTCTTGAGCTATGACTATGGAGCAATATTTTAACAAATCCAGCAGAGTGGATACCTAAAAGTCAAATTGGTAAGCAAGGATTTTTAGGACACATCATGGGGAAGCAGATGTTGGCATCAAATCCTTCCAATATGAAAGGACTTTGTTAAACTCCAAGAGCCCCTAGATAGATCCCACAAGGACCATAGATTTTAATAAGCCCCTTTGTAGGAACATAGTTACAAGAACAATATTATTAGAATAAGGAAAACCTGGAATAGCTGATTAAAAACAGACTTGATCGGGGCTAACATCATCGTCCAGCTGGTTAAGACAATAGAACCTGTCAGAATGTTGGTTTAAGTTCTAGCTGCTTCCCTTTTAACCTAACTTTATATGAACGCATATCAGAAGGCAGCAGAGGATGGTACAAATGCTAGCTAGGGCCCCTGCCTTGCATGCAGGAGGCTCAGTTGGAGTTCCTGGCTCATTGCCTCAGCCTGACCCAGATCTCTTTGTTGTGATTATTTGGGGTAGTGAATCAGTGGATGGAAGTTTCTTTCTCTCTCTCTTTCTTCCCCCATCTTTCAATCTTCTTTTCAAACAAATTGATAGGTAAATTAATTAATCTTTTACAAATATTTCACTCACATTGGAGCTCATGGCTCCTAGTTTCAGTCTGGTCCAAATGTACCTGTTGAGGCCATTTGGAGAGTAAACCAGAGATGGAAGATCTATCTCTGTCTCTATCTCTCTCTCTCTATCTCTATCTAGTTTTAGCTCTAGCTCTTACTTTATCTCTGTCTCTATCTCTATCTCTTTCTCTATTTCTCTGTCACTCTGCCTTTCTAATAGAATAAATACATCTGTAAAAAACAAGAACAAATAATTGGACTCATTTTAAGAAGGGACGACATGAGGCTGGTGCTGTAGCAGTAGATCAGGCACATTCAATTGGTGAATAAAAATTAATCATGCCCTGATTGAAGAGGGCCAACTATTAATAGCAGGAAAAATAGCCACACTATAGACATCTCAATTGGTTCAACCTAAAAAATATTTCTGCCTGAAATATTTAAATGGAGCATGCTTTTTGTCCAGTGAGTGGCCAAACTGTTGCCTCAAATTAGCTGAAGAAAGTAGAAATCAATATGGATGGACCCTAAAGCATTTCTTTGAAGAACTGTAATGGTGAATGAAATAGGGCTTTTCCTGTGTGATTCTGAAGGCAAAGCATAATCAAAACAATGGCAGCCAAGAGGTGGCAGTTGGCCAGTTAAAGCCAAAGCAGACTGGTCAAGAACAAAGTCATGATAGCAAGTTTTTGGGGCATGTTGAAGACATTTTGCTATTGGCTTTCTGGAGGGCCAAAGAACAATCACATTCATTATTATGAGAGTGTTTTGAGAAAGTCGTATGAAGCATTCAAAGAAAACTGCCTTGGGAAGCCAGCACCGTGGCTCACTTGGTTAATCCTCTGCCTGCAGCTCTGGCATCCCTTATGGGCACCGGTTCTAGTCCCGGTTGCTACTCTTCCAGTCCAGCTCTCTGCTGTGGCCAGGGAAGGCAGTGCTTGAGCCCCCACACCCACATGGGAGGCCAGGAAGAAGCACCTGGCTCCTGGTGTAGCTCTGGCCATTGTGGTCATTTGGGGGGTGAACCAATGGAAGGAAGACCTTTCTCTCTGTCTCTCTCTCTCACTGTCTATAACTCTACCTGTCAAATAAAATAAAAAAAAAAAAAGAAAATTGCCTTGGAACTTCACAAGAATCTTTCCCCTCTACTACAATAATTCTTCCCAATTCAGTCATCAAACAAGGGCAATTTCATAAGGATTTAAAATGGGAAATCATTTATGCCACAGTCCTGATTCGGCCCCTGGCATGTGTTTGTTTCCTAATTTAAAAACAATCTTGAAAGCATGTCAGTTTATCTCCAGCGCTACGGCTCAATAGGCTAATCCTCCGCCTTGCGGCGCCAGCACACCAGGTTCTAGTCTCGGTCGGGGCGCCGGATTCTGTCCCAGTTGTCCCTCTTCCAGTCCAGCTCTATGCTGTGGCCAGGGAGTGCAGTGGAGGATGGCCCAAGTGCTTGGGCCCTGCACCCCATGGGAGACCAGGATAAGTACCTGGCTCTTGCCATCAGATCAGCGCGGTGCGCCGGTTGCAGCATGCTGGCCGCGGAGGCCATTGGAGGGTGAACCAACGACAAAGGAAGACCTTTCTCTCTGTCTCTCTCTGTCACTGTCCACTCTGCCTGTCAAAAAAAAAAAAAAAAAAAGCATGTCAGTTTTTCTTCAGTTAAAATGTAAAAAGAAAATGCTGCATAAGTTCTCAGCACCCTAAATTTTTTAGGAATGGATAATGTCTGTTATCATCATTTACAGAATGCTTTGATGTTGATGGAACTCATATAGAGAAATCAACTTTATTTAGTTCAACTTCCTGTGAAGAGGCTGGTGCTGTGGCGTAGTAGGCTAAGCTTCTGCCTGCAGCGCTGGCATCCCATATGAGTGCGGGTTCCTGTCCTGGTTGCTCCTCTTCCAATCCAGCTCTCTGCTACTGGCCTGGGAAAACAGTGGAAGATGACCCAAGTCTTGGGCCCTTGGAAGACCCAGAAGAAGCTCCTGTCTCTTGGATTTGGATTGGCCCAGCTCCAGCTGTCTGGTCATTGTGGCAATCTGGGGAGTAAACCAACAGCTAGAAGACCTTTCTCTCATTCCCCCTCTGTAGCTCTCCCTCAAATAAATAAATAATCTTCAAAAATTTTTCCATAAACTTTTTTTGAAGTCTCCTTGTATTTGTTTATTGCTTTATTGTAAGACATTGGCTCACATAGTTATGAAGACTGGCAAATTGAAAACACTGTGGACTCAGAGCCTGCAGACCTAAAGACAGAAAAAATATTGCAGTTACAATACAAAGGCCAGTAGGCTGGAGACTGAGCAGAGTTGATGGCACAGATGAGCCCTGCAGGTAATATTTAGAGAATGTTTTGTCACTCAGAGACACCTACATTTCTGCCCTGTCAAGGTCTTCAAATGATCAAATGACTCTCGTTCATATTATGCAAGACAATTTGCTTTACTCAAAGTTCACTGATGTGTTATTGTGATCCAAAAACATCTCCAATTTTACACATAAAATTATTCATCACAAGCTACATCTTGGACAAAATTCACAGATGTTAAGGGCCAATACACTGAGTTTTGAGAACTACCTTCTTGTATATAGCCACAACTACAATTGAAACCATTTTGGTTACTTCCGAATGCTTCCTCATTTATCTATACACTTCGTCTCTCTCCATTCTCCTCATGCCAGACCAACTTTGATCTGAATTGTACAATGTCTTTCCTGTTCCATAACTACATTTAAATGGAATTTTGAATACCCAGATTCTTCTGCTTAATGATTTCCATGAGATTTATCCATGCTGTTGTGTACTTTGGTCATTCTTTTATTTACATTGCAACTAACATTCCATCAAAGGTTCATTTTTTTTTTTTTTTTTGACAGGTAGAGTTATAGACAGTGAGAGAGAAATAGAGAGAAAGGTCTTACTTCCATTGCTTCACTCCTCAAATGGCCACTATGGTCAGCGATGAGCCGATCTGAAGCCAGGAGCCAGGTGCTTTCTCCTGGTCCCTCATGCGGGTGCAGGGGCCCAAGCACTAGGGCCACAGCAGAGAGCTGGACTGGAAGAAGAGCAGCTGGGACAAGAACCCGGCATCCATATGGGATGCCGGTGCCGCAGGCGGAGGATTAACCAAGTGAGCCACGGCACCGGCCCCAACAAACGTTCATATTTTTACAGATTATTTCAAAGACAGGGCAACAGGGAGGGGAGAGAGATAGAGATAGAGATAGAGATAGAGATAGAGATAGAGATAGAGATAGAGATAGAGGGAGAGGGAGAGGGAGAGGGAGAGGGAGAGGGAGAGGGAGAGGGAGGGAGAGAGATACCATCTACTGATTCACTCCCCAAGTAGCCTCAATAGCCAGGTCTAGGCCAGGTCAAATGCAGGAGCCAGGAGCTCTATCCAGTTATCCTACAAGGGTGACAGAGACCCAAGAACTTGAGCCATCTTCCCAGGTGCATAGCAGAAAGCCAGGTTGGTAGTGGAATAGCAGGGATTCATACTGGCACTCCTACACAGAATTCTGAAGTCACAAGTGGTGGCTTAACCAGCTGTGCCACAATGTCAATCCCAAGATTCATGTGTTTACCCATTCACATTTCAGTTTGTTTTCATTTTCAATGTTATAAATCAAGTTGTAGTAAATATTGTATAAATATACAAATATTTGGGGGAATATAAGTTTGATTTCTTTTCACAAAATACCTAGGAAAGGACAAGGTTGGATCTGGGGTAGAAATGTTTTAAATTTGCTGTGAAATTTAAACAGTTTTCCAACATGATAACAATTTCTTTTTCACCAGCAACACTCCTATACAGATGTTCCAGTGGCCCCAAGTGATTACCAACACTTTGAATTGCCCTTCTCTTAACTTTACCCATTTATCCATTCTAGCAAAGAGATTTCTTGTCGTTTTACTTATATTTCCATGATGAGTAATAATACAGAAAACAGTCTGTGTACTTATTGGCCAGTTACTTGTTTTGGGGAAGTGAATGTCAAAACTTTAGCTCATTTTTATTATGCTTGATATTTTCCTTTTTCAGGTTAACACATTTTTATTCTTCCCAGGCACAAGTTCTTCATCAGATACATTCATGGCAAATATAACCTCCAAATCTGTGGTTTATCTCCATACATTCTTAAAAATTTCTTTTGATGAGAACATATCACTTTGCTGCTATTGAAATCATTTGTCTTTTTAAAATTATTAATAGTCTTTGTGCTTGAAGAAATTCTTGTGTACCCTAATGTTACATTCTTCTGTTCTAGAAGTTATATGTTTTTAGCTTTTGTATTTTTTGTCTATTATCTACCTTGAATTACTTTTGCATAGCTTTATTAGAGTCTAACTGGTATACATTTAAGCACCCATTTGAAGTATAGAGCTCGATGAGTTTTCACACACACACACATAATATTCATGAATATTCATGAATTCATCACCACAACCAATATAATGGACATATCCACCAGTAAACACTTTTTGATCATTAATGGAACTGTCCATAAAGGGAACTGAGGAAACTGTGCAAGGAACCAGGTGTGGTATCTCTAAGGAAACCCAAAGGACTCAGTCCAATGGAAGTTACATTATTTCATTTTGTTATGGTTCTAAGCACATATTTTCAACATAGACTTGGCATCACGTTATTTCATCAGCATGATGTCTACTTTCAAGTCCGAAACACCATTTTGATTAATCTTTCTGGTAGCCTTTAAATGAGACTAAATATTTTCATCCATCCTGATATGCTACATATCAGGTGGAGATTAAGACTAGAGGTTGCTAGGGCAGGCATTGTGGCACAGCAGGCTAAGCTGTTGCTTGCAATGCATATATCTCATATAAGTGTACTGGTTATAGTCTCTGGTGCTTCATTTATTATACTGCATTCTTGCATGTCTTAGGGAGCACTGGATGATAGCTCAAGTGCTTGGGTTCTTGCCACACACATGAGAGGCCTGGATGAAGTTCCAGGCTCATGGTCTCAGCTTGGCCCAGCCCTGGTCATTGTGCCTGTCAGAAGAATGAACCTGTGGATGAAGGGTTTCTCCCTTTCTTTCTGCCTTTCAAGTGGATGAAAATAAATAAATAAATGTATTTTTTTAAAAGAGGGAAGTCTGCTATGTGAGCAACTCTGCTTTTCAATGCCTTAATTACTTTTTCTTTTTAAATTTGGTAAAATATATAAAAATAAAAATTACTATTTTAATAAGTTTAAGTGTTCAATTTATGATCGATTATGCATGCATTGTTATGCAACCATAAATAATATCCATCTTTGCAAAATTTCCATCTTCCTGTACTGAAACTTTTACCCATTATTTAAAAAAAAAAAGATTTACTTATTTATTTGAAAGGCAGAGTGACAGAGAGAGGAATAGAACAAGAGAGATCTTCCATCTGCTGATTCACTCCCCAAATACCCCAGTGACCAGGGCTGGGCCAGGCTTAAGTCAGGAGCCTGCAGCTCCATCTTGTTCTCCCAAATGGGTGGCAGAGATCTATGACTTGTACCACTTTATACTGCTCTCCCAAGCATATTAGTAGGCACCTGGATCTGAAGCAGAGCAGCCAGAACTCAAAATGGCACTCTGTTATGGGATGCTGGCTTTGCAAGCAGCTGCTTAGTTCATGGAGCCACAATGATGGCCCATGATACTCTGTAGCCATTAAACAGTAATTCCTCACTCTTCCCTCACCTCAACCCTTTGTAATCACTGTTCTATTTTCTGCCTTCATTTTTAAACTGCTTTTTTTTCTAGGTACATTTAAGTCTTTCAGCTGCCTCCTTTAAGATCAAGGAAAAGCAGAGTTCCAGATATTGGGAATTCACACCATAAATATGCCTTTTTTAAAAAATCTATTTGGCATAGCCATGACATATTTCTTTAACAAATGTGAAAGCCAGGTTAAGTAGCATTTCTAGAACTGTGCATTAAGCTAGCAACAGGGCCAGAAGGATCTCAGAGTTGCTGATTCCTAGCCCAGGAATTTTAAGAGGGGCAGTTATGAAAACATTGCTTTAAAGCCATACCCATAAAGCTGCCAACTGAGATTTGGTGTTTATTTCTAGGTGGAAAGAACCGCAATCCTTTCAGTTACACTTGCACAGGAGTGTAATATTTCCTATTATAAATATTCATAAGACAGAAAGGTCATCCTGACATAAGGTTCTCGGTCAAATACAGCAATGTAGTTTCAGGCCCATTATCACCAGGCGCACTACCCTCAGTGGCATCATGTGTTCACAGGAACATTTTGATACTCTTGTTCTAGGACCGTAAAAAGTCAGGCTCCATGAATGGTGAACTACTTGACTTTATTCATGTTTCTTTTCCCAAAATTGCCTTTAAAAAAGTTAATACTTTTAAACTATTTAGATAACTTACAAGCATTCTCATTAAATGAAAGAACCATAATATTTTAGAAGTTATAACTAATGATGTATATAATATTACGGGCACTTTGTCTCCCGCTGTCTCTACATATTTACAATAGGGCCTAGGCTTGCTTTGTTTTTAGGAGAGGGGAAGAGGGTGCAAGTAAATTTTATTAAGACTAAAAGTGAACAGAAAAGTGATCTCTGTTAAACATAGGAGTAGGAATAAGAGAGGGAGGAGATATATAGCTTGGCACAGGCTCACTCGGACTTACCTCCAATGGTGGAACTAGAAATGTGCCAGGGGATTTCAACTCAATCTTATCAAGGAGACATGTACCAACGTCAGCGTACTTGGTAAAGTGATAAGTATAAGTACACAACCGATTAAAAAAGATAGGGTAAGTGTCGAAGAGATTTTACAAACAAGACCAGTGTAAGCAAATAATGAAGGATAGAGTTAAAAGGGAGAGAATGATCCTGCGGGGGAGGCAGGACACACAGCAGACTCATAGAATGGCAAATGCCCAAAACAGCCCTCCGGCCTCAGAATCAACCCTTGGGACATTCAGATCTGGCTAAAAGGTCCATGAGAGTCTCACAGGCATGGAAAGCCATGACACGGTGGCAAAAACAATCTAAATGAAAGATCCTGGTGAACAAGACCCCAACGGAAGGAACAGGCCATCAAGCAGGGAGGCGCCTTTCTCCAAAGGGAGGAAGGAACCTCCACTGTGATACAACCTTGACTAAACAAGTTCAGAGTCGGTGAACTCAAGGGGCTTCCATAGCCTAGACAGCTCATAGCAAGAGTCCCGGGTGATTGCTGAAGTCATAAATAAGAGTGCCAATTGTTAAATCTACAATGGGAGTCACTGGGTACAGGCTCCCCACGCAGGATCTCTGTCCTTAATGTGTTTTACTATGAAACTTAAAAACAACACTACTAGTCGAACAATACCCGATACCTTGCGCGGTTGTGTGAGTGCAGCCTGTTGAAATCCTTGCTTAGTATATACTAAGTTGATCTTCAGTATATGAAGGTAACTGAAAATGAAACTCGATGAAGGGCGGGATGGGAGAGGGAGTGGGAGAGGGGAGGGCCGCAGGAGGGAGGGAGGTTGGGGGGGGGGACCACAACAATACAAAAGTTGCACTTTGTAAATTCACATTTATTAAATAAGAAAAAGAAAAAAAAAGACTAAAAGTGACAAGACTCACAATCATCTAATTAAACACAGAAAACGCATTTGAAACGCTCTAACATTCATGACACCAGTCTGGGACTGGACACTTCCTCAGCATGTTGAAAAGCGCACATCGGTAAGGTAAGGTGCTGGGGGTATGAGCATCCACACGGCGGGAGGCTGCCCTCAGAAACAAGGCAGTGAGGGCCGCTCTCGCTGTTTCTAACCAAAGCTGTACTGGGGATTCCACGCAGTGAGGTCAGTTAGAGGGCAGCGGACGCGAAGTTAATGAGCGCTCAGCGGCGAAGCTGAAGGAGCTGCGTGCAGAGCCAGGACAGGTCGCCCAGAGCCCCGGGGCGGCCCAGGCCTCACCTCGCAGGTAAAGGAACACAGAAAGCCACAGACGAGTGTCCGCCGATTCAGAGCTGACCATGGTGAAGTCCAGGTCCGCCAGCTCCATCGCCCCCTTCTTGGGACACGGGCCACACATATGCACCGTTTCCTGTCTTCTGAGGTACCTGGCTTCCTCATCACGGAGTGCCAGAGAGCTAACAATCTAGGACCCTGTCAGCAGCACTGGCTGGCTATGACTGTGACGTCTAGGCCTTCCGCGAATACGCTGTCTAGCCAACCGCAGTCCTGATTGGACAGTTTGCCAAGACACGCAAAGCTGTAGCCAATCGGTATTGTCCATAGCCGGGGAGGCGGTCACTTGGGATTGTACCCAGTTAGTGGATTGAGGGCTCTGGAGGGGCTCAGGTTGGGACCTCCCAGTCCTGGGGCCCCTCTCTCCCGGCAACAGCAGTTCCTGTTGCCTTTATATCTCTGCAGGGATCTTGTGAGATGGAGCTCCTAATAACCTGCTTCCGGTGAGTTAAAATTTACCTGGTGTTTACTGACTTCGAGGCCTTTGTTTTTCTTCATTACTCTCAGGACATTTCTCAGGTAGATCTTTTCTTTTCTTGAAACTAAAAGACAGTAATTTAATAAATAGAACAACCAGACAACCGAGTAGCCTATTGGATCTGTTATCCTCATTAACCCGATACCTGAGAAATAGTCTTTGAATTCCTTTTTTTTTTAACAAATATTTTTGTCTATATTGGGTGAACAAGTTTCCTGTCGAGAGGGAGGGATTGGTGTTCCATCTGGTCGTTTCACATCTCCTTCCTGATCTAGCTACACAGTAATTTCTGATACTAGAGGTAGGACTCCAGCAGGAAGAAGATGTTTATGAACTGAATAGAGATGAAGAGATGGAATCAGAGAAGCTCTTATCTAATTGGTATTCTTATGAATTTGCATGCCATGTTCTGAAACTTGCAAATATTTAAAGCCCACTTTATTGAGGTTTAGATAACATATAGTAAATTGCATATATTCATAGTATTCAATTTGAAAAATTGTGCCTATGTATGACCATAGCACAATCATAAGCAAGCAGCATATGCCCTACCACTGAAAGTTTCTTCATGCATATGTTTCATTGTTTCTTCATGGCCTTGTTCACCTTGCCCTCCCCAAGATCTGCCTGTTAGGACTATAGATCATTGCATATGTAACAGGAATCATAGAAAGTATGCCACTTTGTTTTCTTTCTTTTTTCAACATTTGTGCACATATTTATTTATTTATTTGAAAGGGAGACAGAGAGAGAGACCAAGATCTTCTGTTGGCTGGCTCACTCCCCAAATGGCCACAATAGCAGAAGCTGAGCCAGGCCAAAGCAAGGAGCCAGGAACTCCATCCCAGTCTTCCTTGTGGCAACAGGAACCCAAGCATTTGAGCTATCACTTGCTGCCTCCTGGGCACACCAGAAGGAAGCTGTTTAGCTGAGACTGAAACTGGATCTCCAGCATGGGATGCAGTTGTCCCAGGCACCGCGGTGCCTGCCTCTGTCTTGGTTTTTGTAAAACATAACTCCCTTTGGTGTTCAGTTATTCATTTCTTTTACTGCTGATTACGATTTCACTTTTTGGCTATGCCATGTATTTACCCATCTTTCAGACTTCTAGATTGTTTCTAGTTTGGGGCAGTAAAAATATATCTATTATGAACATTCATGAACAAGTCTTTGTATGGACATATGTTTTCACTTCTATTTACTGCTCTTTATTACATTGCTTTTTAAACTTTGATAAAATTTAGTCGTTTATTTGTTAGTCTATACCTCGACTCTCAGTTCCATTAGCCTATTTGTCTATCTTTATACCAATTACACACTCCCTTGTTTACAACAGCATAATAAGTCTTGAAATCAAGTACTGATAGCCCTCTAACTTGGCCATCACCTGCTGCCCTGCAGTGTGCACGTTGTGGTAAGCTGGATTGGAAGCAGGGTATCCAGGACTTGAACCAGGCATTCTGATAAAGGTTTCAGGCGTCCAAGCAGTAACTTAACTATTACATCAAACACCCTTCCCCTCATTCTTTGTTTTTAAATTTTAATTTCCCATTGTCTGCTAATGGTATAGAGAAGTATATTTTATTTTTGTGTTGATTTTGTATCCAGTATTCTTGCTAGATTCATTTATTAGCTGAATAATTTTGTAGACTCCATAAGCTCTTCTAAATAGAGGATCTTCTTGTCTATAAAGATTATTTTTTCTTTTCTAATCTGGATACATTTATTCCTTCTTCTTGTGTAATTGCAATATATAGAAATTCTAATACAATACTCAGAGAATGTACAGTCCCTGTTTCATTCCTAATATTAAGGGGGAGCATTTCATCTTTTTCATTAGCCACAGATTTTTCATTGATCCAGCTTATTTCATGCAACATGATATCCTCCAGTTGTATCCATTTTTATGCCAATGATAGAATTCCATTATTTTTAATAGCTGAATAATATTCCTTTGTGTAGTATAACATATTTTCTTTTTTTTCTTTTTTTTAATTTTTATTTTTGACAGGCAGAGTGGACAGTGAGAGAGAGAGACAGAGAGAGAAAGGTCTTCCTTTGCCGTTGGTTCACCCTCCAATGGCCGCCGCTGCAGCCGGCGCACCACGCTGATCGATGGCAGGAGCCAGGATCCAGGTGCTTTTCCTGGTCTCCCATGGGGTGCAGGGCCCAAGCACCTGGGCCATCCTCCACTGCACTCCCTGGCCATAGCAGAGAGCTGGCCTGGAAGAGGGGCAACCGGGACAGAATCCGGCGCCCCAACCGGGACTAGAACCCGGTGTGCCGGCGCCGCAAGGTGGAGGATTAGCCTATTGAGCCACGGCGCCGGCAATAACATATTTTCTTTATCTGTTCATCTGATGGTGTACACTTTGGTCGATTCTAAATTTTTACTATATTGAACAGTGCTGCTATAAGCATGGTGGTGCAGATATCTCTTTGACACATGTGTTCAAGTCTTTTGGGTATATATGCAGTGGTGGGATTGTTAGATCATATGGCGAGTCCATTTTTAGTTATTTTAGAAATCTCCATTCTGTTTTCCACAATGACTGCACTGATTTATATTTCTACCAACAGTGTATAAGTGTTGTATAGCTTTTGTCTTTCAAATATTGAATAATTTTTTGACATATATTATTTATTTATAACTTAAGTGCATTGTGAAATTTGTAATCCCATTCTGTTATGTGATTTAAATCTTTGAAAATTCTTTCATTTTGTTTTATGGCCCAGAATATGTTCTATCTTAGTAAATGTTCTGGGTACATGTAAAAAGAATAAATAAATGAATAAAATTCATATTAAATAAATATAATTGATTAATAATTGTGCCCAAGTCTTCCTTATTACTGATTTTTCTGATTATTTCTTCTATCATTTATTGGGTGAGGTATACTGAATTTTAAACTATAACTTGGGGCTGGCGCTGTGGCGCAGCAGGTTAACGCCCTAGCCTACAGTGCTGGCATCCCATATGGATGCCAGTTAGAGTCCCAGCTTCTCCACTTCCTATCCATCTCTCTGCTTTGGCCTGGGAAAGCAGTGGAGAATGGCCAAAATCCTTGGGCCCCTGCACCCGTATGGGAAATCCAGAAGAAGTTCCTGGCTCCTGGCTTCAGACTGGTACAGCTCTGGCCGTTGTGGCCAATTGGGGAGTGAACCATCAGATGGAAGACCTCTCTCTCTCTCTCTGCCTCTCTTCCCTCTGTGTAACTCTGACTTTCAAATAAATAAATAAATCTTAAAAAATAAACTATAACTGTATTTTTATATTTCTCCTTATAGTTCTTTCTGGTTTCTCCTCACATGTTTTGAAGCTCATTATTATAACAGGAATCCTCATTTAACATTCTTAAGTTTTCTGGATAATATGACCTCATTACTATTATAAAATGACATATATATTAGTGTATACTGTATGTCCTGTTATGAAAACATGTTATATGTCATCTATAAAACTGTGTCTGGTAATTTAATTTTTATGGTAGATTCTATATTGCATTATAATGTTAGTATAACCACCCCAGCTTTCTATAGTGTTAAAATATCATTTCATGCTTTTCTTTGTAATTTACTTGTGTTCTGACAATTAAAATACATTTCGTTTAGGTAGCATCTAACTCAGTTTTCCACTTTTAATCTAATTTGATCATCTTTACCTTTTAATTGGGACAGTTAGACGATTTACATTTAATGTAACAGTTGATATGGTTCAGTTTAAGTCTGTTATCTTGATATTTGATGGTTTATTATATGTCTTTGTGTTCTTTCATCCATTTTCTCTCCATTTCTTACTTTGTGACCTATTTGGTTCTTTTAAGGTTCTGTTTTATTTATCTTGATGGTGTATTAGCTATGATTCTTTGTTATTTTATAGTTGCTTTAAAATCCACAGAAGACAAGTTTAGCATAATGGGTTAAGGGCTGCCTGCAGCGCTAGCTTCCCATATGGACAACCTGGGTTCCCAACTGCTCCACTTCTGATCCAGCTCCCTGCTAATGGGCCTGGGAAAGCAATGGAAGATGGCCTAAGTGCTTGGGCCACTGTACCCACCTGGGAGACCCAGAAGAAGCTCCTGGCTCATGGCTTCAGCCTGGCCCAGCCTCAGCTGTTCTGGCCATTTGGGAGTTGAACCAGCAGATGGAAGACCTGTGTCTGTCTCTCCTCTCTCTCTCTCTGTCTCTCTCTCTCTCTCTATAACTCTGCTTTTCAAATAAGTAAAATAAATCACTAAAAAAGGATTTATAGTACATAGCACCTATACTTATGACAGTTTACCTTTAAGTGATAATTTTCACAAGAAATATAAAAAGTTTTAAATTATATATTTCCATTTTATCTGCAGACATATATATGTATACATATACATATATATATATAAAAAAACTCAAAATGTCTTGCTTTTTGCTAAATGACAATTGTCTTTTTAAAATTGAAACATTTTATTTTGAGATACTTTTTGGTTCACATGTCAGCTTTTTTGTGACCTGTGTATTTTTAAAATTTTTATTACTGAATTTTTTTTACATTTTTCAAAAAGCTTTATTTTTTAACTTTTATTTAATAAATATAAATTTCCAAAGTAAAACTTTTGGATTATAGCGACTCCCCCCCTCCCCATAACAACCCTCCCAGTCGCAACCATCCCATCTCCCACTCCCTCTCTCATCCCATTCTTCATCAGATTCATTTTCAATTATCTTTATATACAGAAGATCAATTTAGTATATATTAAGTAAAAGATTTCAACAGTTTGCACCCACACAGAAACACAAAGTGTAAAGTATATTTGAGTACTAGTTATACTGTTAATTCACACAGTACAATACTTTAAGGACAGAGATCCTACATGGGGAGTAAGTGCACAGTGACTCCTGTTGTTGATTTAACAATTGGCCGGCGCCATGGCTCAATAGGCTAATCCTCTACCTGTGGCACCAGCACACCAGGTTCTAGTCCCGGTCGGGGTGCTGGATTCTGTCTCGGTTGCCCCTCTTCCAGGCCATCTCTCTGCTGTGGCCCGGGAGTGCAGTGGAGGATGGCCTAAGTGCTTGGGCCCT